GTAGTCAACAGGTTAATTTATGGAAGAAGGAAGAAAAGAAAAAGTTTAGTGATGAGAAGTGGGTAAGGGGGGATGGGCGTAGAAGGATGTAGGTTTAAGGAAGGGCGAATGGAAGGATAGAAGTAAAGAAGGATAGAGGAAAGATTGGCGGTCATTTTCAAAAGGCCAATTTCAGCTATCCCCTACCTCAATGCGTGCTCGTGTGGCAGCACTGGCCCCAGCCAAATGAAGGAAGAGTTTCCATTTAACAGCAAATGACATGACATGATGTGCCGAGTTGAATTTGAGCAAGTTGGGTGAGTTCACTCCACTGCCCCCTCATCAGTTAATTTGTGACCCCACTTCACCTCTCGCTTCACGCTACCAAACCGATTAATTTGGAGGTTGCGTTTCTTTTCTACCCGAAAAACTGCGTTACGCAAACAACCTTAACCAAGACGTATTCTTGATAAAGGAGAAAATTTTCAAATAACCAACTTATCGCGTTGCCAAATATAGACACATCCTTGCTTTAAAACGTTAAAAATGTTCTTTTGGGTCTGCATTTTTTTTAAATTTTACCTTTTACCTTGTTTTAGCATCAGAAAATGACTTTAAAATCCTTGAGCACCCTAAGATTGAGTCATGACTGGGCCAGCGAAGCGATTTGAGTGGATACGGAGTGGAGGCAGCGGAGGAGGAGGAAGGGAAATGTACCTCATTACTCATTCAGACACGCAACCAATTCACCGCTACCTCCAGCCACCTCCTCCTCGCCACTAGACCCTCTGCGAGGATCAGCTTTGTGTGCACGCCTAGAGGATGCAAGAAAAATTAATGTGTTAACGACAACATATCTTAATTTGGGTGCATTTTGGAAGAGGAATTTCCGTTTGAATCGTCTCTTCATTTTTTGTGGAGGAAACACAGCTTAGGTGTGATTCGAATAATCCAACCAGAATGTAGGAATTTTTAAACTGGTGCTCCACAGATGGTGAAGCACTCTCTATTGTGTCAATTTTACCACTTTTGTCTTTATTTAAAAGACCTTTTTCTATAGCATATCGGTGAAACTGGATTAAGGTTACTTTTATCATGTCGGTATTAAATGAAAGTTTTACAGCAAAAAATTGCCACCAAGAAGTGGTTTATGAAAATTGACTGGTTCTGGTGGTAAATCTCTGAGAGGCAGGTTCCTCATCACATTGAGGAGGGACCACTCCCCCTTTGTGAACGAAAAGAAGAAATTGGAGCAAAATAGGAAATAACACCTGGCTGTTGTTTAAATTGCCCTCAGAGTTTGGTATGGAAAACAGCTCGTGACCATTTTCCTCGTGCTGTTGGCAACTGCATCAGCGGGGAAAGCCATGAACTACCTGTTAAACAAACGCACCTTCTGTACCACGCTCGAGGAGGTGACAATAGGACTGAAGTATTATTTACGTGTTCCTTATTTCTTCCATATATGCGGTTACAGATCATGTAATTGTGTGATGCTTGACTAACCGACTGGCCTGTGATGTAAAATGTCCTTCCCCTCCATCTACTGCCGATCAACCGTAGATTGTAAAGGGTACGTGCCGCTACATTCCCACACGAATGAGATTCATCTACTTGGCACAACTTAAAGGTGGGCAGAATTGCCTTGCTTCGATAAAACAGCCTGGACTAATAAATCAGTTGGTAGGAAAAAATGCATTTAATTCTCTCTCACGGTCATGAAGAATTTATCACCTTGGGGTATAAAGGTGGAAAATATCACCTTATCTTCCAGATTTTTTTGTAATTCTTACAGTAAATACCCTTCCTTCTAAAAATTTGAAAGGAAAAATGCCGTACGTCACATATACGTGACACGTAAGTTTACTTTGACAGTTGTTAAGAGCTGTATGAAGCAAAATCTATCGCAGACAGTCCATATATGCATCCGGTTTAGGGGGTGGTATTCCCTTTTCAGAAAAGAATAATTATCTTGTCTGTAACGATAGGAATTCTTTCCGATATATTTGTTACTAAAACGCTGATCTATTGCAATTACCACCTAATCATCAAGAAGCAAACCTGTCAAATCTACTTTTTCTATTAGAGATTTTGACATCATGCGCCAAAACTACTGAATTCGGAATCCACTGATCTTGATATGCTTTAATTTTGCCTTAATATTACAAAAAAGAAAAATGAATTATTTCATTAGACGAA